TGATATAACCGTTGTACCCATAACTTTACGGTTGTAAGAGTGCACATGTGGAAACTATTAAGATCAGTTTAGTCGTAGTAAAAGTAGTAATGTTTGATGGAAGTCGTAAAATAAAATATACCTACCTATAATGTAATACATAAATGTGTAATTAAACGAAATTGCCCCTTTCTGTAACTGGGTTATTTTTGTCGGGTATTTAATTTGCCCTAAATTCGAGGTTCAAAGAAATGTCAACAGAAGGAATAACTGAAGAAGAAATAGAAGAAAAATGGGTCGAAAGTTGTTGGATTAAATAATTTGGTAGATTATAAAAAAATGCGATTTTTGTATTCTGCAGATTGTTTGACTTGAATTTTTCATTATTTTTGTTTCCTCAGCTTTCCGATTTTCAATTTTTCGGTTTTTGATTTGCAATTTCACGAATTTTCAATTTTTTGATTTATAATTTTCGTTCCGGTTTTTTATTTTCTTTATTTTTTCAATTTTTCGGTTATTGAATGTCCTGATTCCAGACTTTTTTGAGTGTGAAAATTTTTTTCGTTTTTGTTTTTCGATTTTTCAACTTTTGGATGTTTCTATTGTGTTTTAGTGAATGTTCTGGCGAAATTTTTTTTCAGATGTAAAAATTTTTAATGTGTCCATTTTATAATTTTTTGTTTTTTCAATTTTAATTTTTTTAGTTATTCGTTTCTCGGTGTGCAATTTTTCAGTTTTTCATTCCTTTTTTTTCTGCAATTTTTTGCAGCTCTTCATTTTTTTAATTTTTTTAATTTTTGGATTTTTCTATTTTTCAATTTGCAGTTTTTCGGTTTTCAATTTATTCATTTTTCAACTTTTCGATTTTTCAATTTTAGATTTTTCAGTGTCATGATTTTTAAGTTTTTTTTACTTCTTCATATTTTCCATTTGCAATTTTTCGTTCCGGTTTTTTGCTTTCTTTATTTTTACAATTTTTCGACTTTTCAGGGTCCCCATTTTATAATTTTTTGTTTTGTAATTACAATTTTTTTAGTTTTTCGTTTCTTCAATTTTTCGATTTGCAATTTTTCAATTGTATTTTGTTTCTTCAATTTTTTGCAAATCTTCTAGTTTTCATTATTTAATTTTTCGATTTTTCGTTTCTTCAATTTGCAATTTGCATGTAGTTTTCATTTTAAATATGTAAGAATTAAATTTTATAAAAATTTCACTTTTATTCGACTCTTCAATTTTTCAGTTTTAGAGTTTTCAATGTCATGAGTTTTCATTTTTTTTTTTAATTTCATTTTAAATATGTAACAGTAATTTTAAAAAATCACTTTTTCAATTTTTTTCATTTATTCGACTTTTAAATTTTTCGATTCTTCAATTTTTCACTTCTTCATATTTTCAATTTGCAATTTTCCATTTCGGTTTTTTCTTCCTTTATTTTTACAATTTTTCGATTTTTCAATGTTCCCATTTTAAAATGTTTTGTTTTTCCAATTTTCATTTTTTCAATTTTTTGCAACTTTTGTAGTTTACATTATTATTAATTTTTTTGGTTTTTCTCTTTTCTAAGTATTGGTTGTTTCAATTTTTAATTTTCAATTTTTCGATTTTCAATTTATCGTTTCAGCTTTTTTCTTAATTTTTTTAATTGTCCGGTTATTCTGTATTCTGATTTCTTTTTTTACCAATGCCATTTTTTTCAATTTTTGGGATATATCAGTTCTTCGATTTCCACTTTTTCAATTTTCGAACTTTTAGATTTTGCAACTTTTCGTTTTTTGTTTCAGATTTTTCGAATTTTTTCTATTTTTCGTTTCTTCAATTTGTAATTTGCAATTTTTCTAGATTTCATTTAATATGAAATAATGTAATAATAAAATTTTAAAAATTTTCACTTTTTCAATTTTCGGATTTTTCAATTATTAGATTTTAAAACTTTTTCATTTATTCGCCTTTTCAATTTTTCGGTTTCTAATTTTTCAATTTTTTTATTTTGTTTATTTTTACAATTTTTCGATTTGTCAATGTCCCGATTTTATAATTTTTTATTTCTTCAGTCTTTCGATTTGCAACTTTTCAGTTTTTCATTTCTTTTTTCTTCGATTTTATCCAACTTTTTTAATTTTTCATTTTCTCTAGGCATTTAAACTTTTTTTAATTTCCTCCTGCTTTGAGTCTTACAGTTTTCAGACTGTACAATTTTGACGATTCTATAATTTTTCCTTTTTACAATTTTTCGATTCGATTTTTTCCAATTTTCGATTTTCTACATTTTCTATTTGGAATTTTAGTTTATTATTCAGTTTTCGATTTTGCAGTTTTTAGATTTTTCAACTTTTTGGATTAAATTGGAATTGCAAAATTGAAAAATCAAAAATTAAAAAACGAGAAAATATACAACGAATGGAAAAATCTAAAAATTGGAAATCAAGAACTTGAAAAATTGCAGAAGTGAAGCGTTTTTCTGTTTTAGATTTTTCAAAATTTTTCAATTTTTCGTTTTTTCAATTTGTAATTTGCAATTTTTCTAGATTTCATTTAATATGAAATAATAAAATTTTAAAAATTTTCACTTTTTCAATTTTCGGATTTATTAGATTTTAAAACTTTTTCATTTATTCGCCTTTTCAATTTTTCGGTTCCTAATTTTTCAATTTTTTTATTTTGTTTATTTTTACAATTTTTCGATTGTATAATTTTTGTATTTCTTCAGTCTTTCGATTTGCAACTTTTCAGTTTTTCATTTCTTTTTGCTTCGATTTTTTCCAACTTTTTTTAATTTTTCATTTTCTCTAGGTATTTATTTTTTTTTTAATTTCGGCCTGCTTTCAGTGTTACAGTTTTCCGACTGTACAATTTTGACGATTCTATCATTTTTCCTTTTTACAATTTTTCGATTCGATTTTTTCCAATTTTCGATTTTCTACATTTTCTATTTGGAATTTTTAGTTTATTATTCAGTTTTCGATTTTTCAGTTTTTAGATTTTTCAACTTTTTGGATCAAATTGGAATTGCAAAATTGAAAAATCAAAAATTAAAAAACGAGAAAATATACAACGAAATGGAAAAATCTAAAAATTGGAAATCAAGAACTTGAAAAATTGCAGAAGTGAAGCGTTTTTCTGTTTTAGATTTTTCAAAATTTTTCAATTTTTCGTTTTTTCAATTTGTAATTTGCAATTTTTCTAGATTTCATTTAATATGAAATAATAAAATTTTAAAAATTTTCACTTTTTTTATTTTCGGATTTATTAGATTTTAGAACTTTTTCATTTATTCGGCTTTTCAATTTTTCGGTTCCTAATTTTTCAATTTTTTTATTTTGTTTATTTTTACAATTTTTCGATTGTATAATTTTTGTATTCCTTCAGTCTTTCGATTTGCAACTTTTCAGTTTTTCATTTCTTTTTTCTTCGATTTTATCCAACTTTTTTTAATTTTTCATTTTCTGTAGGTATTTAATTTTTTTTTAATTTCCTCCTGCTTTCAGTGTTACAGTTTTCCGACTGTACAATTTTGACGATTCTATAATTTTTCCTTTTTACAATTTTTCGATTCGATTTTTTCCAATTTTCGATTTTCTACATTTTCTATTTGGAATTTTTAGTTTATTATTCAGTTTTCGATTTTTCAGTTTTTAGATTTTTCAACTTTTTGGATCAAATTGGAATTGCAAAATTGAAAAATCAAAAATTAAAAAACGAGAAAATATACAACGAATGGAAAAATCTAAAAATTGGAAATCAAGAACTTGAAAAATTGCAGAAGTGAAGCGTTTTTCTGTTTTAGATTTTTCAATTTTTTTTTTGTAATTTGCAATGTTTCTAGATTTCATTCTAAATATGTATGCAATAATAAAATTTTAAAAATCACTTTTTCAATTTCCAGATTTTTCAATTATTAGTTTTTAAAACTGTTTCGTTTATTCGGCTTTTCGATTTTTCGTTTCGGTTTTTTATATAATTTACTTTTACAATTGTTCCGATTTTATAATTTTTTGTTTTTTCAAATTCAATTTTTTAAATGTTTTGTTTTTCAGTTTTTCGATTTTCCAGCTTTTAGATGTTTCAGTTTTTAGATTTTGCAATTTTTCGAGTTTTCAATTTTTAATTTTTAAATTTTTCAATTCCCAATTTTTTGTTTGTTTTTATTTTCTTTATTTATTCAATTTTTCGATTTTAGAATTGTTCCATTTTTCAATTATTGAACTTTCAACTTTTTCAGTTATTCAATTTTTCAACTTTTAATTTTTCATTTTCTCTATAGGTATTTAATTTTCTCTTTCTTTCAATATTACGGTTTTTAGACTTTACAATTTTGACGATTCTGTAATTTTTGGATTTTTCAATTTTTTGGATCAAATTGGAATTGAAAAATTGTAAAATTAAAAAACGAGAAAGTATACAACGAAAACTGAAAAATCTAAAAGCTGGAAATCAAGAAGCGAAAAATTAATTAGAAAATGGAAAGACCAAAAATTGGGAAACTTAAAAATCAAAAAAGTGTGAAAAATATGTGTTGCAAAATCGAAGTATTGAATAATAAAGAAATCGGGAAATCGAAAAATTGAAAATTCAAAAATTGAATATACAAAAATTAAAAAAATAAAAGAAATGAAAAATCGAGAAAATGAAACGACAGGCCACATTTTTCGTACTCTAGACAGAAAACATGAAAGTCGCTAGTCGCCCGCTCAGCAACTAAAAAATGTTCAAATGACACTGCACTAGTGGCAGGTAGAATCTCAAGCCAGAGCCGTACTTTCAAAATTCACTATATGATAAACAAATGTTATCTCTGACAAAACAACCGTCACCTCCGTGATCCAAATACCAAAAATTTCTGCATAAATTCCTGGCTTAACCGTACCAACAAACACGTTACTTCCAACATAAAAATTCCCGTAATCACCACAACTTCCATAACTTTTTTTCATAAACATAAACCATCTCTCATAAACTCAAAATAGTCATAATCAACCCAAATTCTTCACAAATTCAGCAGAAAAATAAAAAATCGTACTTACGCGTTCATAAACAAACACCCAGAAAAAAAAACAACACTGCCTATATATAATCCCCACTAATCACATTTTGCACCCAACACTCGTCCACTACTTACGAAAAACTGGTACACGAGGATTTTTTTAAGACACGTGCATTTGATACAGCGGCCACGAGGCGTACACAACCGCTTCTGGACGTTAAATGCGAGGTTGTACATGTAAATTCTGACAGTTGTCGGCAATAAACGGCATCGCCGCAATCGACTCACCCTACCCTATCAAGACGGCCGTGCTTTGTGCGAAGAATGAACCCATTGAACCAGCACTCGCTGGCGTTGGAGTTCGCTTGTTGCCAAGTCGAGGGCAGGTGGCCGTTCCTGGTACAACGAGGGGGAAATGAGGAGGAATTCCGGGAAAAAATCTGGTTTTCAGCAAAATTAACTTTTTTTTTTTGAATAACGGAAATTTGGCGCTAAAATTTGTTGGGTTACTTCGCTGCGAGAATCTGATGACGTCACAATGATGTTGAATGATTAGATGAAGTGGTGGAGTTTATCGGTTATCTAGGAATGTCTTAGTTAATTTCCTCAGATATGGAGAAATGGGACGAATATTTTGTAGCTTTGTTGTCTATTTGAGGATAGGCAACACACAATTCATCAGGCTTGGAATTGTGTTGACCTTCGACTGGAAACAAGGAGTTTCAAATTGTAGACTTAAAAACAAAAAGCTTCATAAATATTCATTTTTTGCTAAGTACTTCGTCGTAAAAAAAAAATGACGCGCATAGATAACCGAAATTTTCTAGAAACTCTGTCTACAATTTTAGTCGAGTACCACCTACAACCACACTAAAATGAATCTACTAACAACAAAAACAACCACAGCTGTGTGGATTCTGTTGTGCTTTCAATCCCCGACAAGCGCAGATGATGAAGATCGCTACTTAACACTAGTAAGTACCACAGTACTGATCGACTCTAAGTTCCAGTGGAAAAATTTCAGCCCCAAATCATCTCCAAGTACCACTATCCAGTGGAAATACACCATGTAACAACACAGGATGGTTATACCCTAACCATGTACCGAATTCCTGGAACTAGTACAGCTAAACCAGTACTACTCCTCCATGGTATATTTCACTACGCAGCAGCGTTCATCACCGCGGGCGTTGGACACGCTCTAGGTTACATTTTGGCCGACGCTGGCTACGACGTCTGGCTTGGTAGTTTTCGTGGTTGTCCCGACTCCCAGACCCATACCACCTTCAACGCCACTACCGACCCCAAATTCTGGGACTTCAGCTGGCACGAAATGGGTTTGTTTGACCTCCCAGCCATGATTGACTACGTTTTGGAAATCACCGCTCAACCTAGCCTCTACTACGTAGCACACTCCCAAGGTACCACCGCCTTCTACGCCATGGTGTCCACCCATGTCCACTACAACCGCAAAGTGAAAGTGAACTTCAGTCTAGCACCAACTGTCTACTTCAGCAAACCCATCAAACCCCTTGTGGTACTAGAAATGTGGTACCACTACATACAACACCTAGCGGACAAACTCGACGTCTACACCATCCCTCCCAGCAACAAATTCGTGAGTCAAACTCTCCCGGTGTTGTGTGGGCGAACTGGGAGGTTCTGCGACGAGTTGCGGTTCACATTTATGAAGTACTTTCATGGTACTGAAGTACCTGAAGGGGTTTTGCCGGTTTTAGTGGGGCACGCGCAAGTGCCGGTGGCCACCAAGCAGATTTTGCATTTTTTGCAGGTGATGAGGTCGGGGTACTTCCACTGGTACGACGATAAGGAGGATAGGTGTTGGGGGTATGGGTGTGGGAGTCGGAGGGTTCGGGCCTATAACCTGTCGGCGGTTACAGTTCCGACTTTTTTATTTTATAGTGCTAGGGACTGTATGATTCATGAGGATGATGTGGTGAGGCTGTGTGGGGAGTTGGGGGGTGGGTGTGAAGGGAGGGTGTTGGTTGCGGATAGGAGCTTCAACCACGGGGATTTTATTTCGGGGAAGAGGGTGCGGGAGTTGGTTTTTGATAAGGTGGTTAGTTTGATGGGTCAGTACTAGTTTCACTGAGTTTGATGGGTCAGTACTAGTTTCACTGAGATTGACTACAATCTTTTTTTTACTGTTGTGATAAGTTAAACACATTTTTTGTATTGTGATTAAAGTGTAGTAATTTTGTCTAAGGTCCAAACAAATATAACAAAACTCAAAAAAAAACAAAACACCCAAAAAAATCCAAAAAATCCTATCAATCCATAAAATAGAAATATTCAAAATCCAAAATATCCGAAAAATCCAAAAAACCCAAGAAATGAAAGAAATCAAAGAAACTCAAAATAGTCAAAAATTCAAAAAATCGGAAATATCCAGGAAATTCAAAAACATCCAAAAAATCAATGAATTTATTTATAAAATTCAAAAATCAAAAAATCCAAGAAACTCAAAAAACTCCAAAATTCTAAAAAATATGAACTGTTCAAAATACACACAAATCGGAAAATAAAAAAGCAAAGAGTAACAACTATCCAACAATGAACAAACAAATCAAAAAAAAATAAAAAATGGCCTACAAAATCCAAAACAAAACAAAAAAATCCAAAAAAATAAAAAAAATCAGAAAATCTAAGAAAATCCAAGGCGATTGAAAAACGTCAAAAAGAAAACCTAAGAAAATCTGAGAACATAAAAAAACTTAACGATTCCAAAAAAAAAAAATCAAAAAAAGTCCAAAACAAACAAAAAGTCCAAGAATACAAAATATGTAAATAAAAGAAAGTCCAAAAAAATGCAAAGATCCAAAAAAGCGAAATAAATCCATTAGAATAAAAAATAAAGTCCAAAAAATAAAAAAACCAAAAATAAATCCAAAAAAACGGAAAACATCCAAAATAATTAAAAAATCGAAGAAATCCAAGAAACAAGTAATTAAAGAAAAAAATCAAGCAATCCAATAATTCCAAAAATCTAAATCCAAATCTAAAGGATGCAAAAAAGCCAAACAAACATACAACAAAACTCAAAAAAAATCTAAAAGACCCAAGAAATAGAAATATCCAAAATCCAAATGATCCAAAAAAATCCAAAAAACCCAAGAAATGCAAGAAATCCAAGGAACTCAAAATAGTCAATAATCCAAAAATTCGGAAATAATCAGAAAATTGAAAAACATCCAAAAACTGAATGAATTTATAAAATCCAAAACTTAAAAAATACAAGAAAAAACTCAAAATTCCAAAAAAATCCAAAAAAATACAAAAATCAGAAAATAAAAAAGCAGGAAGTAACAACTATCCAACAATCAAAATAAATCCAAAAAAACAAAAATGTAAAAACCCAAAACAATTTAAAAAAAATCAAAAAACCCTGAAAATCTAAGAAAATCCAAGAGGTTCGAAAAAGATCAAAAAAAAAATATTAAAAAATCCAGAAATCCCGAAAATCCAAGAACATCAGAAACTTAACAATTCAAAAAAAAATCCAAAACAAACAAAAAGTCCAAGAATACAAAATATGTAAATAAAAAAATGAAATAAAGTCCAAAAAAATGCAACGATCCAAAAAAACGAAATAAATCCATTATAATAAAAAATAAAGTCCAAAAAATAAAAAAAAAACAAAAATAAATCGAAAAAAATGGGAAACATCGAAAATAACTAAAAAAATCAAACAAATCCAAGAAACACAAGTAATTAAAGAAAAAAATCAACCAATCCAATAATTCCAAAAATCTAAATCCAAATCTAAAGGATGCAAAAAAGCCAAACAAACATAAAACAAAACTCAAAAAAAATCTAAAAGACCCAAGAAAAACAAAAAATCCAAAAAAACAAAAAATCAAATCAATCCAAAAAATAGAAATATCCAAAATCCAAATAATCCAAAATATTCCAAAAACCCCAAGAAATGCAAAAAATCCAAGGTACTCAAAATAGTCAATAATCCAAAAAATCGGAAATAATCAGAAAATTGAAAAAAATCGAAAAACTTAATCAATTTATAAAATCCAAAAGTCTAATAATCCAAGAAAAAACTCAAAATTCTAAAAATCCAAAAATATACAAAAATCAGAAAAAAAGCACAAAGTAACAACCATCCAACAATCAAAATAAATCCAAAAAGAATTAAAGTAAATCCAAAAAAATTAAACATGTCTAAAAAGATATAAAAAACCCAAAGATAAAAAAAAAACAAAAAAAGTAAAAACCCCAAAAAAATAAAAAAAAACAGAAAATCTAAGAAAATCCAAGAGGATCGAAAATGATCCAAAAAGAAATTTAAAAAATCCAGAAATCCCGAAAATCCAAGAACATCAAAATACCTAACAATTCCAAAAAAAAAAAAATTAAAAAAATCCAAAAAATAACAAGAAGTCCAAAAAAATTCCAACAAACCAAAAAAATAATGCAGAAAAATAAGAAAAAAGAAAAAGAAATTCAAAAAATCAAAAAAATTTAAAAAAATCTAAAAAATAAAAAAAATTAAAAAAACGAAAGTCGAAAAAAAAACTGAAAAAATCCAAACATTTCAAAAAATTGAAAAATATCCTCAAAATCCAAGCAAAATTAAAAAATTCTCAAAAAATAAAATATTTTAAAATTCCAAAAATTTAACAAAATTAAAAATCCAAAACAACTAATAAAAATCCACATAATCTAAAAAATACAAATATTCAAAAAACCCAAGAAATGCAAGAGTCTTAGATTTCTTAAAAAATATATAACTATGTATATATAATTCATAAAGTCGAAAAAATTGAATAAATCCAAAAATTCCAAAAAAGTTAAAAATATTCAAAAAAATCCAAAACAAACAGAAAGTTCAAGAATACAAAATATGTAAATAAAAAAATTAAATAAAGTCCAAAATATGCAAAGATCGAAAAAAGCGAAATAAATCCATTAGAATAAAAAAATAAAGTCCAAAAAATAAAATAAAAAAACAAAAATAAATCCAAAAAAATGGAAAACAACGAAAATAATTTAAAAAATCTAACAAATCCAAGAAACACAAGTAATTAAAGAAAAAAATCAAGCAATCCAATAATTAAAAAAATCGAAATCCAAGTCTAAAGGATGCAAAAAATCCAAAAGATCCAAAAAAGCCAAACAAACATACAACAAAACTCAAAAAAATCTACAAGACTCAAAAAAAAACAAAAAATCCAAAAAAAAAAACAAAAAATCAAATCAATCCAAAAAGTAGAAATATCCAAAATCCAAATAATCCAAAAAACCCAAGAAATGCAAGAAATCCAAAATTCCAAAATTCCAAAAAGATATGAACTGTCCAAAATACACACAAATCGGAAAATAAAAAAGCAAAGAGTAACAACTATCCAACAATGAACAAACAAATCAAAAAAAATAAAAGAAACCCAAAAAAATAAAAAAATTCAGAAAATCTAAGCAAATCCAAGGCGATCGAAAAACGTCAAAACAAAATCTAAGAAAATCCGAGAACATAAAAAAAATCTTTAAACAATTCCAAAACAAAATCAAAAAAATTTAAAACAAACAAAAAGCCCAAGATTACAAAATATGTAAATAAAAAAATGAAACAAAGTCTAAAAAAATGCGAAGATCCAAAAAAGCGCGATTAATCCATTAGAATAAAAAATAAAGACTAAAAAATAAAAAAAAAACAAAAATAAATCCAAAAAAATGGAAACCATCTAAAATAATAATTAAAAAAATCTAACAAATCCAAGAAACACAAGTAATTAAAGAAAAAAATCAAGCAATCCAATAATTCCAAAAATCTAAATCCAAATCTAAAGGATGCAAAAAATCCAAAAGATCCAAAAAAGCCAAGCAAACATACAACAAAACTCAAAAAAAATCTAAAAGACCCAAGAAAAACAAAAAATCCAAAAAAAAAAAACAAAAAATCAAATCAATCCAAAAAATAGAAATATCCAAAATTCAAATAATCCAAAAAAATCCAAAAAACCCAAGAAATGCAAGAAATTCAAGGAACTCAAAATAATCAATAATTCAAAATATCGGAAATAATTAGAAAATTCAAAAACATCCGAAAACTAAATGAATTTATAAAATCTAAAAGTCAAAAAATCCAAGAAAAAACTTAAAATTCCAAAAATCCAAAAAAATGAAGTATCCAAAAAATACAAACATCAGAAAATAAAAAAGCAAAAAGTAACAACTATCCAACAATCAAAATAAATCCAAAAAAAATCAAAGCAAATCCAAAAAATTAAACAAATCCAAAAAGATCCAAAAAATCCAAAAAGATCCAAAAAATCCAAAAATAAAAAAAAACAAAAAACAAAAAATTTAAAAACCCAAAAAAAATAAAAAAACAAAAAATCAAAAAACCCAGAAAATCTAAGAAAATCCAAGAGGATCGAAAAAGATAAATGCACTTAAAATGCGTGTGTTACTGTAAGTTAGATACTTTTTTAGTATACTTATTTATTACATTGTATTCCTTTAATTTTTTAAATAGGCATAATATTTTTATTAATTTCTTGTTTATTATGTTAAAGTGTGTCCTAAATGGTACCCTTCTTGGACATTTTGTATTTTGTTCCTGGGTTAAATATATTATTATTATTATTATTATTAAGATAAGAAAAAAACAAAAAAATCCAGAAATCCCGAAAATCCAAGAACATCAAAAATTATACAAAAAAATAAGAAAAAATTAAAAAGAAATTTAAAAAATTCAAAACATTTAAAAAATCTAAAAATTAAAAAAATTCCAAAAATCCAAAAAAATGAAGTTTCCAAAAAATACAAAAACCAGAAAATTGAAAAGCAAAAAATAACAGCTATCCAACAATGAACAAACAAATCCAAAAAAATAAAAAATGTCCAATAAAATCCAAAACAACAAAAAAATCCAAAAAAATAAAAGAAATCCAAAAATAAAAAAAATCAGAAAATTTAAGAAAATCCAAGGCAATTGGAAAAACGTCAAAAAAAATCTAAGGAAATCTGAGAACATAAAATAAACTTCAAACAAATCCAAAAACAAATCAAAACAATCCAAAAGATCCGAAAAAGCCCAACAAACATTAAACAAAATTTAAAAAAAATCTAAAAGACCCAAGAAAAACAAAAAATCCAAAAAAAAACAAAAAATCAAATCAATCCAAAAAATTGAAATATCCAAATTCCAAAAAAATCCAAAAAACCCAAGAAATGCATGAAATTCAAGGAACACAATATGGTCAATAATCCAAAAATTCGGAAATAATCAGAAAATTCAAAAACATCCAAATATTCAATGAATTTATAAAATCCAAAAGTCACAAAATCCAAGAAAAAACTCAAAATTTCCAAAAATACAAAGAAATGAGGTATCCAAAACCATACAAAAATCAGAAAATAAGAAAGCAAAAAATAACAACTATCCAACAATCAAAATAAATCCAAAAAAAATCAAAGCAAATAAAAAAAATTAAACAAGTCCAAAAAGATTAAAAAAAAACAAAAAATTTAAAAACCCAAGAAAGTAAAAAAAAACAAAAAATCAAAAAACCCAGAAAATCTAAGAAAATCCAAGAGGATCGAAAAATATCCAAAAAAAAAAAAACAAAAAAAATCCAGAAATCCCGAAAATCGAAGAACATCAAAAAACCTAACAATTCCAAAAAAACAACAAGAAGTCCAAAAAATTACAACAAACCATAAAAATTATGCAAAAAAATAAGAAAAATAAAAAGAAATTCAAAAACATTCAAAAAAATTTAAAAATCTAAAAAACAAAAAAAAAATAAAAATAATAAAAACCTAACTAATTCCAAAAAATCAAATAGGTCCAAACAAGCCAAAATAATGCAAGAAATTCAAACAAAAATCAAAAAAATCGTAAATATCTCAAAACAATTATTATTCAAAGTCGAAAAAAAAATTGAAAAAATCTGTGGCGTCGTGCCGCAGGCTGTTCGAAGGACCGTATAACCGTGTCGTACACGGTACGAACACGGCAAGAAAAGAGTGTTGTTTTATAACTATATATTAATAGTGTGTAAATGTATGTACAGTTTGTCGACCGATCGCGTGTACTGCGAGGTGCGTTCTGTCTGGGTCCGTACCACCCCGGTGCCGTCGAAGGGTGGGTGGTGGGGTTGTACCGCTCTTGTGCCGTCGAAGGATGGGTGGTGGGGTTGTACCGCTCTTGTGCAGTACTGTACTGCGCAAAATCCAAACATTTCAAAACATTGAAAAATATCCTGAAAATTTAAGCAAAATTAAAAAATTTTCAAAAAATAAAAAAATTTAAAAATCCAAAAATTTAAGAAAATTAAAAATCCAAATAATCTAAAAAATACAAAAATTCAAAAAACCCAAGAAATGCAAGAGTCTTAGATTTCTTAAAAAATATCTATATTATTCATGAAGTCGAAAAAATTGAATAAATCCAAAAACTCCAAAAAATTTAAAAATATCCAAAAATCCACAAATATCCAAACAAATCAAAAATATCCTAAACAAACAAAAAGTCCAAGAATACAAAATTACAAAATATGTAAATAAAAAAATTAAATAAAGTTCCAAAAGATGCAAAGCTCCAAAAAAGCGAAATAAATCCATTAGAATAAAAAATAAAGTCAAAAAAATTAAAAAAAACAAAAATAAATAAAAAAAATAGAAAACATCGAAAATAATTTAAAACATGTAACAAACCCAAGAAACACAAGTAATTAAAGAAAAAAATCAAGCAATCCAATAATTCCAAAAATCTAAATCCAAATCTAAAGAATGCAAAAAATCCAAAAGATCCAAAAAAGCCAAACAAACATACAACAAAACTCAAAAAAAGTCTAAAAGACCCAAGAAAAACAATAAATGCAAAAAAAACCAAAAAATCAAATCAATCCAAAAAATAGAAATAATAATCAAAAAAATTCCAAAAAAATCCAAAAAACCCAAGGAACTCAAAATAGTCAATCATCCAAAAAAAAACCGGAAATAATCTGAAAATTCAAAAACATCCAAAAACTCAATGAATTTATAAAATCCAAAAGTCAAAAAATGCAGGAAAAAACTCAAAATTCCAAAAATCCAAAAAATGAATTTTCCAAAAAAAATACAAAAATCAGGAAATAAAAAAGCAAAAATTAACAACTATCCAACAATCAAAATAAATCCAAAAAAATCTAAGCAAATCCAAAAAACTATACAAGTCCAAAAAGATAAAAAAAAAAACAAAACCTAAAATAACAAAAAAAAAATCAAAAAACCCAGAAAATCTAAGAAAATCCAAGAGGATCGAAAAAGATGCAAAAAAAATTTTTAAAATCCAGAAGTCCCGAAAATCGAAGAACAACAAAAAACCTAACAATTCCAAAAAAATTATGTAAGAAAATAGGAAAAAGTAAAAAGGAAGTTAAAAAAAATCCAAAAAATTTAAGAAATCTAAAAAATAAAAAAAATCAAAATAATAAAAACCTAGCTAATTCCAAAAAATCAATTAGATCTAAACAAGCCAAAGTAATGCCAGAAACACAAAAAAAAAATCGTAAATATCTCAAAACAATTATTATTCAAAGTCGAAAAAAAAATTGAAAAATATCCCGAAAATCCAAGCAAAGCTAAAAAATTCTCAAAAATATTTAAAAAATTAAAAATCCAAATAATCTAAAAAATACAAAAATTCAAAAAACCCAAGAAATGCAAGACTCTTAGATTTCTTAAAAAATAACTATATTATTCATGAAGTCGAAAAATTTGAAAAAATCCAAAAATTCCAAAAAAGTTAAAAATATCCAAAAATCCACAAATGTCCAAAAAATTCTTAAGATCCAAAAAAGCCAAACAAATAAACAAATCCAACAAAGTCCAAAATAAAGTCCAAAGAATCCAACAGGATAACAAAAATCAAAAAAGAGTCCAAAAAAACAAAGAAAAAAATCTAAAAAAGCAAAAAATAACTATTACTCAAAAATTAAAAAAAAATTAAGTTTATCTACTTCAAAAACCAAACAGAAGGGAGGGATCTCCGAGATTCTATTCTATTATCGGGTTTTTGAAGTAATTTTGTGGTATTTCCCGCAGAACATTGAGGAGATATGTGAATAAAAATGTCACAGAAATAGCAAAATTGGGCCGCAAAGAGGAATCTCCGGGACCCCTTCTGATTTGTTTTTAAAGTAATTTGAAGGAAATTCAAGGAGCCCTACATCCTTGTTTTTGAAGTACTTTGAGGGCATGTCGAGGATGATTTGTGTTTAGTTTTTGAAGTAGTTTGAAGAAATCTCAGCGATCCCTTAAGTTTTCTTTTTGAAGTATTTTGCAAGAATCTTGCTTACCACTTTTGTCTGGTTTTTGAAGTAGCTTGAAGGAATCTCTGGGAATCATTTTGTTTTTTTTGAAGTAGTTTGAAAAAATCTGGAGGACCCTTTGTGTCTTGTTTTTGAAGTAGTTTAGAAGAATCTCGCTTACCCCTTTTGTCCGACGGTTTTTGAAGTAGTTTGAAAACATCTAGGGGACCCTTTGTGGCTGGTTTTTAAAATAGTTTGAAAGAATCTCGACTAACCCCTTTTGTTTTGTTTTTGAATCAGTTTGGAAGAATCTCAGGAGCACCCGGTGTTTGGTTTTTGCAGTAGTTTAAAGGAATCTTGGCCACCTGTTGTGTTTTGTTTTTGAAGTAGTTTCAAAGAATCTCAAGGACCACTAGTGTGTGTTTTTTGAAGTAGTTTGAAAGAATCTCGAAGGACCCTTGTGCCTTGTTTTTGAAGTAATTTGAAAGATGGATGGAACCATCTGGAAATCTGGAATTTTCCAGAGGTACCAGTAACCGTGGTGACGTCATTGTCACCTCATAAATGTGTTAAGTGAATCGTCTAGAAGGTGATTACTTGTAGTTTGCATTTTCCACTGCAAGGTTAGAAGTAGAAAATTAACTGTTGTTTTATTGTTTCGTAAACCCGTAATTTTGTCAAGTAGACATTAACAATGTATATATTCCTAAAACTTAACTGCTGCAGTGCTTTATGGAAATGAAGTAGTCACAAAATGTGGTCACCGTCACCCGTCACGATTTTAGGAAGTTTCCTTTTCATTTATCTTTACGCAATCACTAGGAAGAGAGAATATGCTCTTTCGACAATTGTAAGTGATAATAAGACATTTTTCGACTAATTAAGTAAGTATTATGACTTTTCTAGCCCGAAATTTTGACCACACGTGGATACCCAAGTGAAGTACACCATGTGACTACTCCTGATGGCTATATTCTAACCCTTCATAGAATCCCTCATGGCAGAAACAATACAAACTCGAACAAACCCGTGCTGGTACTCCAAGGTATATTATTATCGTCGAGACATTTCGTTTTTATGGGGGTAGAGCAAAATTTAGGTAAATCAAACTATTGTGGAACCACCCAGTACTACGTTACTTGGTTTTACAGGTTATAAACTAGCCGACGAGGGTTACGACGTATGGTTGGCCGACGTCCGAGGTTGCTACAGCTCTCGCAACCACACCACCCTCAACCCAGACAAAGACCCCAAATTCTGGTACTTCAGCTGGGACGAAATGGGCACCATAGATGTCCCAGTACTAATCGATTACATTCTAGAAACCACCCACCAACCTAATCTCTACTACGTGGGTTATTCCCAAGGTAGCGCTCTTTTCTTCATCGCGATGTCCACCCGTCCTGAGTACAACGCCAAAGTTAAAGTCCACGTGGGGTTGGCACCAGTTGCGTACTTAAACCACAAGAAAACCCATCCTTTTCAAATCGTAGCCCACTGGAACGTCGTCTTCGATACACTTTTAGCAATCTTCGGAATCGACGAGTTCCCACCACCGATTTTCACGTTCATGAAAAGAGTGACATGCAGAGTCAGTCCAGATTTTTGCAACTATGTTTTCATGGTACTTTTTGGGTATAAAGCGTCTGAAGTGAACTCAACGGTTCTTAAGATTTTTCTAGAAGACTTCCCGATTCCTGTGTCTAGAAAACACGCAGTCCACGTTTTGCAGTTGATTGAATCGGGGTACTTTCGGAGGTACGACTTTGGTGGGGATAATATTGAGGTGTATGGTACTTCCACGCCTCCTTCGTTTAATTTGTCGGCTATTACGGCTAAAAGTCACTTGCTTTATAGCGACGAAGACGATATGGTAACTGATGTTGAAATTGACAAGTTGTGTGAAGATCTAGGGGATGCTTGTGCTGAGAAATTTTTAATCACTGAAGGTACTATTAGGCATCTGGATTGGGTGATCGGGACTGGGGTTCAGGAGTTGGGGTATTCCAAACTACTAAGTGTGATGGCTAATTATTAACTGACTTTATTATTTTGGTTAATAAAGTTTGCAAAACTTGTAGATTTACTGATTTTCAATTGACTTAAGTAGGTTTCTAATACAAGGTCGAACATTAGCTTATCGGTGTGTTTTACTGTATTTTTAACACAAACAATAATATGCATTTAGTTATCTAAAACGATTTTGGTACAAATAAAATAGTACTCGTACAATGTGGGTACTGTTACTCCAGACGGTTTTAGGTTTTTACCTTTACCCAGTCTCTGCAAATATAGAAGACGTCCATTTGACAATTGTAAGTTGTGACACGTTTTTCACCCTGTTGTGACTTTTGTGTCCCGTGCAGCCCCAAATTTTGACCAAATATGGGTACCCTAGTGAGGTTCACTACGTCTTTACGTCTGATGGTTACATCTTAGCCCTCCATAGAATCCCTCATGGTAAAAATAGTACTGCTTCAAACAAACCCGTGCGGGTACTCCACGGAATATTTTTTTCTTCGAGACACTACGTTGTTGTCGAAGTGGAGCACGACTTAGGTAAATTGGACTAGTGTGGAACCACCTAGTACTACGTTATGTCGTTCCTCAGGTTCTTAAACACATTTTTGAAAGTCTTCAGAACTGACGAAATCCCACCACCGAGTTTCGCTATCCCGAAGACAGTGACATGCAGAGTCAGTCCATTTGTTTGCAACCAGTTGTTAATATCCATGTTTGGGTATAAACAGTCTGGAGTGAACTCCACCGTTTTCAAGATTTTTCTGCAAACTGCTCCGGTTCCCATTTCTAGGAAGCAAGGGATTCACGTTTTGCAACTGATGAAGTCGGGGTACTTTCGGAGGTACGACTTTGGTCGAAATAATGTTAAGGTGTATGGTACTTCGACCCCTCCGACGTTCAATTTGTCGTCTGTCACAGCAAAGAATCACTTGTTTTATAGTGATAACGACAATATAGTGACTAACGTTGAAATTGATAGGTTATGCGAGGAACTGGGTGGTGCTTGTACCGAGAAACTTTTAATCTCGGGAGGTACTATCACTCACATGGACTGGGTGTTTGGGACTGGGGTGCGGGGGCTAGTATATTCGAAACTTGTAAACGTGTTAGCTAATTATTAACATTAATTAAAGTTTAATATTCGTCACAATTTCTTTACCAAAACTAGAATGTCAAGTTCACAAATCGCCGCTTTCACTTTTAAACTCGTTCTAAAAGTGTAAAAGAATCACTTGTGTTGGACTAGTGGTACCAATATGTCACTAAAAGTGATTGTAGTTACATATATTTTGTTTCAAGGTCAACCAAGTGCTTGTGAAGATGCTTATCAAACAGTCGTGAGTCACAATATTGATTGCTACTTGTATAAGTTCACTTTCACCTCTTGTAGTCTGAAATTGTCTCACACAGTGGGTACCCAGTCCAAGTCCACCACGTGACTACCTTTGATGGCTATATCCTAGCCCTCCATCGAATCCCTCACGGTAGAAAAAACACCCTCTCGAACAAACCCGTGCTGATGCTCCAAGGAGCCTTTATTGCTGCAGTGGGGTTCGTTTTTACGGGGGTGGACCACGCTTTGGGTAAATATTAAGCTCTCGGATTTTACTTTTATTTAAAATTCCTATACACACTCACTTTTTTAAGTTATTTAATAATTCCTGGAAAAGTGTTATCGAGTTTGTATGTGGAGAAGTCAGGATTTTGCCACTAAGCTCCGCCCCTTTGGCTCACGACGGATCACAATTTAGATAGGGCGGGTGGGCGGGGCTTATATTTTACCTTTTTCTTTTAATATACGTAGTCATCTTTTCACAAGAAGAAACTTAAAACGTGTTTAGGATAGTAATTTTTGTAGACAAATATGGATTTTGCAGTCAAGCTCCGCCCCTCGATCTGACAACGAATCAAAAATTTATCACAATACGTTTGATTAAAAAGAGAAAAAGAATCAACGACAGATAGAAAGCACATTATTTTGCACATTCTTCATTCTTTGAAATGTGTTGTCGAGTTTTTCTTGTGGAGAAGTAATGATTTTGCTACTAAGCTCCGCCCCTTTGGCTGACGACGAATAAAAAAATCATCACAACTGAGACAGGGCGGGTGGGTGAGGTTTATATTTTGCCTTTTTTCTTAATTAACATGGTCGTCTTTTCGCATCAAGAAACTTAAAACATGTTTAAAACGGTTAATTTTTGTAGACAAATATAGATTTTGCAATTAAGCTCCGCCCCTCGATCTGACAACGAATCAAAAATTTATCACAATACGTTTGATTAAAAAGAGGGAAAAAATCAACGACAGATAGAAAGCACATTATTTTGCACATTCTTCATTCTTTGATATGTGTTGTCGAGTTTTTTCTTGTGGAGAAGTAATGATTTTGCTACTAAGCTCCGCCCCTTTGCCTAACGACGAATAAAAAAATCATCACAACTGAGACAGGGCGGGTGGGTGGGGTTTATATTTTGCCATTTTTCTCAATTAACATAGTCGTCTTTTCAGAACAAGAAACTTAAAACATGTTTAAAACGGTTAATTTTTGTAGACAAATATAGATTTTGCAATTAAGCTCCGCCCTTCGATCTGACAATGAATGAAAAATTCATCACAATACGTTTGATTAAAAAGAGAAAAAGAATCAACGACAGGTAGAAAGCACATTATTTTGTACATTCTTCATTCTTTGAAATGTGTTGTCGAGTTTTTCTTGTGGAGAAGTAATGATTTTGCTACTAAGCTCCGCCCCTTTGGCTGACGACGAATAAAAAAATCATCACAACTGAGACAGGGCGGGTGGGTGGGGTTTATATTTTGCCTTTTTTCTTAATTAACATGGTCGTCTTTTCGCAACAAGAAACTTAAAACATGTTTAAAACGGTTAATTTTTGTAGACAAACATAGATTTTGCAATTAAGCTCCGCCCCTCGATCTGACAACGAATCAAAAGTTTATCACAATACGTTTGATTAAAAAGAGGAAAAGAATCAACGACAGATAGAAAGCACATTATTTTGCAAATTCTTCATTCTTTGAAATGTGTTGTCGAGTTTTTCTTGTGGAGAAGTAATGATTTTGCTACTAAGCTCCGCCCCTTTGGCTGACGACGAATAAAAAAATCATCACAACTGAGACAGGGCGGGTGGGTGGGGTTTATATTTTGCCTTTTTTCTTAATTAACATGGTCGTCTTTACGCAACAAGAAACTTAAAACATGTTTAAAACGGTTACTTTTTGTAGACAAATACCTATAGATTTTGCAATTAAGCTCCGCCCCTCGATCTGACAACGAATCAAAAATTTTATCACAATACGTTTGATTAAAAAGAGAAAAAGAATCAACGACAGATAGAAAGCACATTATTTTGCACATTCTTCATTCTTTGAAATGTGTTGTCGAGTTTTTTCTTGTGGAGAAGTAATGATTTTGCTACTAAGCTCCGCCCCTTTGGCTGGCGACGAATAAAAAAATCATCACAACTGAGATAGGGCGGGTAGATGGGGTTTATATTTTGCCATTTTTCTCAATTAACATAGTCGTCTTTTCAGAACAAGAAACTTAAAACATGTTTAAAACGGTTAATTTTTGTAGACAAATATAGATTTTGCAATTAAGCTCCGCCCCTCGATCTGACAACGAATCAAAAATTTATCACAATACGTTTGATTAAAAAGAGAAAAAGAATCAACGACAGATTGAAAGCACATTATTTTGCACATTCTTCATTCTTTGATATGTGTTGTCGAGTTTTTTCTTGTGGAGAAGTAATGATATTGCTACTAAGCTCCGCCCCTTTGGCTGACGACGAATAAAAAAATCATCACAACTGAGACAGGGCGGGTGGGTGGGGTTTATATTTTGCCACTTTTCTCAATTAACATAGTCGTCTTTTCAGAACAAGAAACTTAAAACATGTTTAAAACGGTTAATTTTTGTAGACAAATATAGATTTTGCAATTAAGTTCCGCTCTTCGATCTGACAACGAATCAAAAATTTATCACAATACGTTTGATTAAAAAGAGGAAAAGAATCAACGACAGATTGAAAGCACATTATTTTGCACATTCTTCATTCTTTGAAATGTGTTGTCGAGTTTTTTATTGTGGAGAAGTAATGATTTTGCTACTAAGCTCCGCCCCTTTGGCTGACGACGAATAAAAAAATCATCACAACTGAGACAGGGCGGGTGGGTGGGGTTTATATTTTGTCTTTTTTCTTAATTGACATAGTCGTCTTTTCAGAACAAGAAACTTAAAACATGTTTAAAACGGTTACTTTTTGTAGACAAATATAGATTTTGCAATTAAGCTCCACCCCTCGATCTGACAACGAATCAAAAATTTATCACAATACGTTTGATTAAAAAGAGGAAAAGAATCAACGAGAGATAGAAAGCACATTATTTTGCACATTCTTCATTCTTTGAAATGTGTTGTCGAGTTTTTTCTTGTAAAGAAGTAATGATTTTGCTACTAAGCTCCGCCCCTTTGGCTGACGACGAATAAAAAAATCATCACAACTGAGATAGGGCGGGTGGGTGGGGTTTATATTTTGCCTTTTTTCTTAATTAACATGGTCGTCTTTTCGCAACAAGAAACTTAAAACATGTTTAAAACGGTTAATTTTTGTAGACAAACAAATGTAGATTTTGCAATTAAGCTCCGCCCCTCGATCTGACAACGAATCAAAAATTTATCATAATACGTTTGACTAAAAAGGAGAAAAAAATTGACGACAGACAGAACAATTTTATTTTGCACATTCCGAATTCAATTTACTCAGCAAAATTGTAGATCACGTCATCAAATTTTGGAAGAAAAAAACAGAACAAATATTTTTGCTTCTAGTTTTACTACTGGCGTACTCTGGCCCCATAACCTGTTCCTCTTTTACTTTTTATTATGATACTATGTATTTTTACATGCAACTAAATATTTTGCATCGTCCGTTAGGTTATTTGTTAGCCGATGAGGGCTACGACGTGTGGTTGGCCGACGTCCGCGGCTGCCACAGCTCCCGCAACCACACCACCCTCAACCCAGACACAGACCCCAAATTCTGGGACTTCAGCTGGAACGAAATGGCCACTATTGACGTCCCAGCGATGATCGACTACGTGCTACAAACCACCAACCAACCCAACCTCTACTACGTGGGTTATTCCCAAGGTAGCGCCCTCCTCTTCATCACCATGTCGCTCTACCCGGAGTACAACACCAAAGTTAGAGTCCACGTGGGACTGGCACCTGGTGGATACATCGACACGAAAAAAATCAACCCTTTGCACATTTTCGCCAACAGTAACGACCTCTTGAACACGTTTCTGGAAAGAATAGGAATGAACGAACTCCCACCACCGATTTACACGTTCGCGCAGGGGGCGACATGCAGAGTCAGTCCAGACTTTTGCAGATTCTTGTTAATGACTGTATTTAGGTATAAACCATCGGAAGTGAACTCGACGATTGTGACTAGTTTTTTGAAGCATTTTCCGGCTTCTGCTTCTAGGAGACAGACGATTCATATTCTTGGGTTGGTTAGGTCTGGGTTGTTTAAGATGGATGATTTTGGTGCGGGAAATGTTGAGGTGTATGGTACTTCGACTCCTCCGTTGGTTAATTTGGGGGCTGTTACGGCAAAGACTCACTTGTTTTGTAGTGATGATGACGATATAGTGTCGGATTTTGACGTTAGTAGGTTGTGCGAGGAGTTGGGTGCTTGTGTTGAGAAGCATTTAGTGACAGAAGGTACCATTAAGCACTTGGATTGGTTAATGGGGCCTAGAATACGGGAGTTGGTTTATTCGAAACTCGTAAAAGTTATGGCTCGTTATTAAATTTGTTTGAATAAAATTAATTCTTATCAATGTTATTTGGTGGAATAAAAATGTTGGTACCATCTATACACAGTGTTTGCCTAATTTCAGAAAGCAAGGGGATCATTATTTGCAGATTATTAAGTCGGGGTACTTTCAGAGGTACGATTTTGGGAGAAAGAAGAAATGAGGAAGTGTATGAGGCTCCGCTGCCTCCTGGGTACAATTTGTACTTGGGTACTACACAGTGCCATTTATTTCATAGCCAGGATGATTTTGTAATGTCTGCCTAGTATGCAAAGAACTAGGTACTTGTGTTAGTAGCAATTTAGTCAATGGTACTACCCTTGGACCCTCAGATTGGTTGACAGGGACCAGGATTAAGGAGCTGCTTTATCCAAAACTGTTAAACATAACGACTTCTTATTAACAATAAAAACTTATAAACAAAGTAATTAATTTATTATTATAAAAAGAGAACACAATACATGCAATTTTTGTACACAACAAACCTAACCTAAAATTAATTTTATGACAATAGTAAGTACATTTAAAAAGATCAGCGGAACTGAAACAAACACGATTAGACCGACTACCACGAAGCCCCAAATACATACTTCTGGCTACCGTCCTAATGGAATGAACTAAGTTCAGAATCTGGGATTTAGCCGACGGGTTTTCTCCAAAACCTTGAACCGAGGGACTTTTCGAACTCCAACCAACTAAAACAGAAACAACAGTGTCTTTAGTTCTAAAACGTCGAACAAAAAATTGTTTTATTAAAATCCAGGGAAAGTGAGGTTAGGTTTGATACACGTCACGTCGTACTTACTTTTACTTAAAAAGCGTTCTTCATGTAAGATGCAAATCGCGTTTAGGCACAAAATTGAAGCCTCGAATAAATTCCAAAGAGTGAATGCCATTGTTTATTGTTGTAATAAATCATCAACAATTAAATTCTAGTACCATACAACTGACAAGTGACAATGACAGGAGTTGGTAGGCAACCAGCAATACGCGAACGAAAACCATCGCCGCTTTTCCGAGTATTACGGGTTATCTATTTACAGGCGCAAGGTGAATTCAAGTGAAAACTTTTTTTTTGTAAAGCACCTGACACAAATAAAATAAGTTAACAAGTTTACTTAATAAGTGGGTGGGCCATAAATTCGAGATGGACGTATTTTGACATCTACCTCCAGCACTCTTGCGCCACATTCAGCCGTATATGCTATGATTTGTTGCAATAACATCGTTACCAATAAATGTCAAATAAAAAATTAACAATTACAACACTGGTAACATCGGACCCATTTTCGCCCATTTAACTTTTTGTCGAGTGCAATTTCATTCCCATTGTCATGCAAATCCAGCCTTATTTTCTTCACATGCAAGAAAGTTCATGTATATCTTCTTCCGACTCATCTTGTATCTTAGGTAAAAGTGAAATGTCTTCTCTCACCATAAACAACGTATTCCTTCACAATTAACCTAGATTAAGCGGGAACAAGAATTTTACTGGTATAGTTCACGATTTGATTGGCTAATCTTATTTCGTTTAGACCGAATATCCGTTTCTGGTTTCGTTTTTTGCCTCACCTTACTCAGTGCTTATTTTTAGCCGGTTGTATTTCACTTTCTTGATTGTTTTACGACGACGATAAATAAAGTCGGGCCGAATTTATTATTTTTGTAATGTCATTTCACTTTCGGTGAGCGCATCACGCAAGCATGTACCATTTTTGTCGGCGGAATAAGTAGCAATTACTTCCCATGAAGAGAAATCGGTGCGGATGTCCACTTGGCGGATTTATAAGTCTGGGATAACGGTGTTTAAGAAATTGCCAGACGTACATCCTCGACTTTCTTCCAGTTCCACACCCCTTTGCCGCAAGAAAGCACGAAAATCACCGTCATTGGGATAAATTGGCATTAAATGGTGTTCGTGAGATGGTGATTATGTCGTTGGTAGAAATGCGGAATGAGGAGGATTGTGGGGTGCGTCCTTGCGGCACACCGAGGGTGATTTGGGTTTCAGGGCAACCACAAGTCAGAAAAACCTGCTGGACTTATGTTAAAATTCATGAATTGCCAACAAGGGTTTAATTTATGACGTTTAGTTTAGCTAAAGACACTAGGGACTACGAGATTCTTTTATATCCTTTCAAAAGAAACATTTGGGACGCCGGAATTCCTTCACATTTTTCAAAAAAAAAAAACGGATCCGGGATAATTTAAACTATTAAAAAAAAAAAAAACGCTTGGAAAACCCAAATTCTTTCACATTTTTAATATCTATAATATCTCTATAATATCTTTTATATTCTTAAAAAAGGCACTTGGGGCAACCGAGATTCTTTTAAACTCTTTCAAAAACGGCATCAGGGGCCTAGAAGATTTTTCTGCATTGTTTAGATTACTTAAGAAAGACATAAGGGTACCTCGAGATTCTTTGAAATAAAAAAAAAGACATCATGGACCCTTGAGATTCTTTTGTATCATTTAAAAAGACACCAGCAACCTCCCAAGATTCTTTTAAATTCTTCATAAAAAAAACCAATAGGGATTCTCGAGATTCTTTTGAATTTTTCTAACAAAGAAAAAAGATACTAGGGACCCCCGAGATTCTTTTACATTCTTAAAAAGTACACTTGAGACTGGTGAGATTCTTTTACGTACTTAAAAAAATCTACTTGAGATCTCGGGATTCTTACACATTTGTCAAAAAAAGAACCCCAACATTCTCTCAATTTTTTTTAAAAAAGACACTTGATGATCTTCAAATCTTTCCGCATAAAGGCATGTGGGGCTCCCGAGACTCTTTTGCATACTTTAAAAAGACACCAGAATCTCTCAAAATTCTTTTAAATTTTCCAAAAAAGAAAACACTAGTCATCCTATAGATTCTTTTAAATTTTTCCGAAAAAAAAGGGGCAAAAGAACCTTTAGAATAAAAAAGACACTAATGACCCTGAGATTATTTTATATCCTTTTAAAAGAACCACCAGGGACCCAGGGATTCTTTGACACTATTAAAAAAAAAAAAAAAAAACGCTTGGAGGACCCAAATTCTGCCATATTTTTTAAAAAGGTCGCTAGATTTTTCAGATTCTTTTAAAAAGGCACTTCAGGCAACCGCGATCCTTTTAAATTCTCTAAAAAAAAAGGCATAAGGGACCTAGAAGATTTTTCTGCGTTCTTTAGAAGGACACAAAGATAGCTCGAGATTCTTTGAAATTAAAAAAGACATCATGGACCCTTGAGATTCTTTTTTATCATTTAAAAAGACACCAGCAACCTCCCAAGATTCTTTGAAATTCTTCATAAAAAAACCAATAGGGATCCTCGAGATTCTTTTAAATTTTTCTAACAAAGAAAAAAGATACTAGGGACCCCCGAGATTCTTTTAAATTCTTAAAAAAATACACTTGAGATTGCTGAGATTCTTTTACGTACTTAAAAAAATCTACTTGAGATCTCGGGATTCTTACACATTTGTCAAAAAAGAACCCCAACATTCTTTCATTTTCGTTAAAAAAAGACACTTGATGATCTTCAAATCTTTCCGCATAAAGGCATGTGGGGCTCCCGAGACTCTTTTGCATTCTTTAAAAAGACACCAGAATCTCTCAAAATTCTTTTAAATCCTCCAAAAAAGAAAACACTAGTCATCCTATAGATTCTTTTAAATTTTTCCGAAAAAAAAAACGCGCAAAGGAACCTTTAGAATAAAAAAGACGCTAATGACCCCGAGATTATTTTATATCCTTTTAAAAGAAACACTTGGGACCCCGGAATTCTTTCATATTTAAAAAAAAGAGCTCCAAGATTTTTTCACACTATTTAAAAAAAATACTTCTTCCCCATTTTTAAAAAAGGTCACTTGATTTTTTATGTTCTTAAAAAAGGCGCTTGGGGCTATGGAGATCCTTTTAACTTCTGTAAGGCACCAGAGTCCTCTAAGATTTTTCTGCATTCTTTAGAAAGACACAAGGGTACCTCGAGATTCTTTTAAATTCTCAAAAGTAAACAGTTGAGACTGCTGAGATTCTTTTATGTACTTAACAAAAAAACTTGAGATCTTGGGATTCTTTCACATTTGTCAAAAAAAAGACCCCCAGATTCTTTCATTTTCTTTAAAAAGAAGCTTGAAGCTCCCCAGATCTTTCCGAAAAGAAAAAACATCATAGACCATTGAGGTTTTTTTTCACAAGGGAACCGCACGTGATTCTTTAGAACAAAAAAGGCAATTGGAGCCAATGAGATTCTTTTTTATGTATACATAAGAAAACACTGGGGGCCCCGAAGATTCTTTTATCTAATTAAAAAAAAAAAAAACACTTGGAAACCCGAGATTCTTTCATACTCTTTAAAGAAAAGACACTTAAAAATCCCCAAAATCTTCCCTATTTAAAAAAGAATCATTAGGGACCCCCGAGATTTTTTTTATATAGTTAAAAAAAGCACCTGGTGCCCCGAAATCCTTTTTAAATTCTCCAGAAAGGACACCAAGGATCCAGAAGATTTTTCTGTATTCTCAAAGACGCAAAGGGACCTCGAGATTCTTTAGAATTAGGAAAAAGATCCATGGGCCTTGGAGATCCCTTTGTTTTTTTTTAAGACACTAGAGACTTTCGCGATTCTTTTTTTTTTAATTTAAATTTTTAATTTCATTGAGATCCCATAAAATCATTCACTGAACCGGAGACTGGGTGGGTGGGCGGGGCTAATTATGTTTTCTGTCCAGTGGGAGGGAAAACTAATAATAGAAGCCAAAAATGACTTCTGGATATCAAAATCTACAAGAAATTGTCTTCAATAATTTCTGGAAATGGTAAATATTGATCGAAAATGTCAAAAGTGCCAAAAACAGTCTTATCTTATCAATTTTTAAGCCCGCCCACCCACCCTCTATTTTATTAGAGGATATATTATTTGCCAAAGTCGATCTTACCTTAGCAAGTACTAGCCCCACCTACCCACCCTCTTCTCCTTCTAATGACAAATTTTATTTCTGTTCACTTTAAGGTCATTCATTTCATTCAGATCGCATAAAATCAATCGCTGAAAACGAGACAGGGTGGGTGGGCGGGGCTAATTATGTTCTTCCGTCGAGTTGGAGTGGAAACTAATAACAGAAGCCGAAAATGACTTCTGGATATCAAAATCTACAAGAAAATGTCTTCAATAATTTCCGGAAATGGTTGAAAAATGGTCGAAAATGTCAAAAATGCAAAAACAGTCTTATCTCATCAAATTTGAAGCCCCGCCCACCCACCCTCTATTTTCTTAGAGGGTCTGTTATTTGCCAAAGTCAATCATATCTTAGCAAGTACTAGCCCCACCCACCCCCCCGTTCTCATTCTAAGTACAAATTTTATTTCTGTTCAGTTTAAGGTCATTCATTTCATGCAAATTGCATAAAATCAATTAAAAAAAAACCGCTTGGAGAATCCAAATTCTTCCGCATCTTTAAAAAAGGTCACTAGATTTTTTATATTCTTCCAAAAAAAGCACTTGGGGCAACCGAGATCCTTTCAAATTCTCTAAAAAAAGGCACCAGGAACTTAGAAGATTTTTCTGCGTTCTTCAGAAAGACACAAGGGTACCTCGAGATTCTGTAAAATTAAAAAAAGAGATCTCATTAAGATTCTTTTCTATCATTTAAAAGGACATCAGGAACCTCCCAAGATTGTTTTAAATTCTTCAAAAAAAAAAAACACTAGGAATCCTCGAGATTCTATTCAATTCTCAAAAGTAAACACTTGAGATTGCTGAGATTCTTTTATGTACTTAACAAAAAAATTTGAGATCTCGGGATTCTTTCACATTTGTCAAAAAAGACCCCCAGATTCTTTAATTTTCTTTAAAAAGACGCTTGAAGCTCCCCAGATCTTTCCAAAAAAAAAAAACATCATAGACCATTGAGGTTCTTTACACAAGGGAACCCCACGTGATTCTTTAGAACAAAAAAAGGCAACTGGAGCCCATGAGATTCTTTTATATGTATAGATAAGAAAACGCTATCTAATTAAAAAAAAACAACACTTGGAACCGCTAAATTCTTTCACTCTTTAAAAAAATACACTTAGAGCTCCTGAAAATTTTCCATATTTAAAAAAAATCACTAGGCATCCCCGAAATTTTTTTATCCTTTGAAAAAAAAAACACTTGGGGCCCTCGGGATCTTTTAAATTCTCCAAAAAATAAGACAGCAGAGACCCAGAGAATTCTTCTGCATTTTTCAGAAACACAAGGGGACCTCGACTCCTTCGTCCTTAGACTTAAAGATGTTACAGGTCAGGTCTTGTTATGTCATCAACAAGGATGTAGTTGATGTTTTGGGTCAACTCAGGTCAGGTGAGATCAGCTTGACCATCGGCAAGGATTTAGTAATATCAAGTCAGTCAATTCAGATCAGATCAGGTCAAGTCAGGTCACATATGTGTCTTTAATAGAATTTTCGTCTTGTCGGATTACCGTCAATTCAAAAGTTTGAACTGCAAATGTAACGATCAAAAAGAAACTTTCAAAAATCCTTTATTCCCTAGACATAAACTAAACCCTTGTTGAAGACCTGACCTACTCCAACCGGAAACGTCATTATACTCGTTAACTAAATCCTTGTTGATATACCATGTGAAAATGTATTGAAAAGTCTGAAAAGCGATATTGGCGCATTTTTGTGCTAGTTCTTCAGGAAGAACGTTCTCTATCAAATAATGCAGACACGTATCATCACTCTTCTCTAGTGGCTACTTGACCACGATTTCAAATTTTGCACAGCTTCTCTAACACAAACATGCCATCCACCTGTGTCTACAAGTTTTTCGAATCGGACTTTTCCTCGATTTGCATTTCGGATCTCTTCATTTCGCCGCACCGTGGGCTTCCAGTAGCGAATCTTCCGCATGTAATTGAGTTCATGGCACGTAGCATTACGTAAGTTTCGTAATTGAACGGAAAAAGCACAAGAGAAACGCACAAAACGTGTTAAATGTAGTGTCCGAGCCGACGTCATCGGCGACCCACAAACCATCCTTTCTCTTCGCTGCAGCTCTGACCGACAATTTTGTTTAGAAACTGAGCAGATGCGTCGGACCTAATGACATAGTAAAACCAGTAAAAGTAATCGAAAGGAAGGTACTTTTACTCGGTGCCAGAGGTGGTACTTTGACCTTAGGTTTTCGAGTCGGTGTGGGAAAGGCGACTTTCTAGTCGTGGTGGTCGAGGATGAGGGAAAAAAAACTTTGGCTACGGTGACAAATGTATTTTTTTATAAAACATAACCTACAAAAAGCTTTATACAAGAAATGCAACGTTGTAATGCATCATGACCCGTGTGGTGGAAGGGTGTATTTACACTCAGTTCAGTTCTGCAGCTCTCGGAGCTAATAGGGGGCGCCGTAGGAGCCCGAGGGCGCTCCGTAGGTACTGCTAGGGTACCCTCCGGCCTGGTGCGACACCTGGTTGTATTGCGCCACCTGGATGGCTTGCTTGATGCCCTCAAGGTCGATACCCACGACCCGCGCGTGGTAGCTGGGCACTCCGTACGTGGGAGCCGGCGCGCCGTACGAGCTGCTGATCCCGTGGCCGCCGCCGCCGCCGCCCCCGATCGAGCCCGAGCTCTGCTCCTCCTTCAGCAGGATCTGGCGCACCTGCTCCAGCAGCGCGGGGTCGACGGAGGCGCCCTCGGAGGTGGTGTAGCCTGACGATACGGCCGTGTAGCCGCCGCCGCCTCCGGACAGTCCCCCGCCCAGGCCGCCCCCGAAGGAGATGCCGCCGCCGCCGCCGCCCGGCCTGCTGTAGCTGTAGCCGGACGGGGGTTCCGCCATCGTCGCTACAGCCATGGCGAAGGCGAGGACCTGCAAGAAAGAGAATGAGAAGGGCGCGCACAGGAGGCACTGCACTAGGTCCACTGGCACTCGCGTAATCCACTTACCACGGTGTATGTGTTCATGATGCTTGCTGACTGGTCGATGGTGACTGTGGCGGTTCGGCGGCGCTGTGGGGCTTTATAGGCGCGACGGCGGAGGGGGTGGGAACAATGGTGTCTTCGGATGCCATCCACTTTCACGCACGACGGCGGGATATACCGAATTTCGGCACCAGAAGATGAACTTGGGGCCTGGGTGAAATTGCCACCGAGTGATACTTTCGGGGGTTACGTAACGAGGTGGTGGTCCATCTCACAAACGTGGAAATCTACGTGACCTGGTGATCCCGATCTTCGCCTGGAAGTGCATTCTAGGTCTACTCCAGAATTGCGGAGGCGGCTACCGACAACTCTTTATGCAAATCTTACCACTTTATCAAGACGACTACTAGAAAGTCTCCTTCGATTACGTGTGGACACTAATATTTTCAACATAATTGGCGAATTTGTGAGAACAAAGTACGCTTTAATTAATTCACGGCTTTATTAAATTTAATTACCACATTGTCATTAAAATTTTTAACTCATTAGATTTTAATAGATGCAAATGTGTTTCAGTAAAATAGGATCTTCTATTTGTCATCGTGTTTAGCACCATGTGTTTGTGATATTTACAACCTTCCTCTCTATTTGCGAATGTAATGCAACGTTGATCACCACTCGTGCCAAATTGTCAATACTTAGAATAACAACAAATAAATTAAACACACTTTTACTGACTCTTGAAGATGAGATTGACGTTTTTAGCGAAATTAGCCGCCGTTTACTCTAATTATCGAATTAGGTTGGTGAAAGACAAAACTCCCTATAAGTTAAATTCACTGTTTACAGACAAATTTAATCGAAGTGTCTTGTGCAGTGTTGCCAATTCATCTCGATATTTTTTTCACCTTATTTACTGAAGAAAAAAGGGACTCTGAGAAGTCGCCCAAAATCTTTCACATTCTTTCAAAATATATATATTTACTTGGAGCCCCCGATATTATTTTCCGTTCTTGAAAAAAAGTCACTAGGGAATAGTGAAATTTTGTCATGTTCTCTCAAAAAGACACTATTTTAAATTCTTAAAAAAGACACAAGAGAGCCCTAAGATTCTTTTAATTTTTTCCAAAAAGAAAAAAACACTATTGCGATATTTAAAAAGGCAGAATGGAATTCCCACGAAATTTTTTTAAATAAAAACAAGACATTTTAGGAACTCCCGAGGTTCTTTTAGATTCATTAAAAAGACGAAAGACACAAGACGACCTAGAGATTCTTAAACAGTTTTCCAAAAAAGAGATAAAAAAATATGCCAAGGACCCCGGAGATTCTTTTGTATTAAAAAAAAACACAATGGGACTAACCGAGATTCTTTAGAAAAAAAAAACACTTTAGGGACCCTCAAGATTCTTATAGATTCTTTAAAAAGATACGAGGACTTCGAGAGTTTTTAAATGTTTCTATAAAAAAGACCGAGGACCCAAAACATTCTGGTGCATTTTTTGAAAAGATGCAAAGGGACCTAGATTCTCCTAGACTATTCCAAAAAAAAGCACCAAAAATCCCGGAGATTATTTTGCATTATTTAAAAAGATACAATGGGATCTCCAGCTGAGACTTTTTACAATAAAAAAAGTCACCCGAGATTCTTTTAGATTCTTTAAAAGACACAAGGAAATCTCGACTTTTTTAAATTTTTTCTAAGAAGATAAAAAGTCACAAGGGACCCAAAATATTCTCCGTATTTTTTTGAAAGACAACGGGACTTTGAAATTCTTAGGAGCCCTCAAGATTAGTTTCAATTTTTCCAAAAAGAATTGAAGGTCCCCGAAGATTCTTTTGTATTACTTATAAAGACACTATGGGATCCCTCACTTTATGTTTTTTTTAAACAAAAAGACAAAAAAGACACGGAGACCTCAAGTTTTTAAAATTTTTGAAAAATGTAACAAGGGCACCAGGGACCCAAAAGATTCTTGTACAGTGTACACTTTTATAAAGAGGACCCCCGAGATTCTTTTCAATTCTTTAAAAAGACAAAAAAGGACCTAAAGACTCTTTAAAATTTTTCCAAAAAGGATAAATACACCAAGGATCCCGGAGATTCTTTTGCGTTATTTAGAAAGATACAATGGAACCTCCAGCTGAGACTTTTTAGAATAAAAAAAGACGCCCGAGATTCTTTTAGATTCTTTAAAAGACACAAGGGCATCTCGTTTTCTTTTTTAATTTTTCTAAAAAGATAAAAACACAACAGGGACCCAAAACATCCTCTGCATTCTGCAAGCCATCCAGAATGTTTAGAATTAAAAAAAAAAGACAATAAGGGCCCCCAAGACTCATTTCATTTTTTCCAAGAAGAAAAAAGACACAAAGACCCCGGAAATTCTTTAGTATTATTTATAAAGACACAATGGGACCCCCCCCCCCCCACCAAGATTCTTTAAAATAAAAAAAAAACACTTTAGAGACCTCTGGGATTCTTTAAAAAGACACGGGAACCCAAGACATGCTCTAAATTTTTTCAAAAGACACAAAGGGACTTCGATTTTTTTCAATTTTTCCAAAAAGAAAAGACACCAAGGACCCTTGAGAAAAATATAGAAGAGAACCTCGACTTTTTTTTAATTTTTCTGAAAAGATAAAAAGACAACAGGGACCTAAAATATTCTACTGCATTTTTTTGAAAGACACCGTCGGGATCTTGAAATTCTTTTAAGTGTAAGACACTAAGGATCCAGAAGATTGTTTCGCGTTATTTATAAAAACACCCAGATTCTTTAGAATTGAAAAAGACAAAGGGACCCTCAAGATTAATTTCAATTTTACCAAAAAGAAAAACGACGAAAGGACCCCGAAGATTCTTTTGTATTATTTAAAAGACACTATGGGACCCTTTGTCCAAGCTTTTTTAGAACAAACAAAAGCTCTTTAGGGACCCCCGTGATCCTTTAAAAAGACACGGGGGCCTCGAAATTTTTTCAATTTTTCCAAAAAGAAAAGACACCAAGGACCCCGAAGAAAAATATAGAAGGGAACCTCGAATTTTTTTTAATTTTTCTAAAAAGATAAAAAGACAACAGAGACCCAAATATTGTACTGCATTTTTTTGAAAGACACTGTCGGGATCTTGAAATTCTTTTAAGTTTAAGACACCAGGGATCCCGAAAATTGTTTTGCGTTCTTTAAAAAGATACCCAGATTTTTAGAATTAAAAAAAAAAGACAATAGGGCCCCAAGATTAATTTCAATTTTTCCAAAAAGAAAGAAGACACGATGGGACCCCCCCCCCCCCCGAGATTTTTTAGAACAAAAAAAAACCTTTAGAGACCCCCGACATTCTTATAGATTCTTTAAAAAGACACGGGGATCTCGAGATTTTTAAATTTTTCTATAAAAAAGACACCAGGGAGCCAAGACATTCTTGTGCAGAAAAAAGAATTCAAGGTCTCTGAAAATTCTTTTGTATTACTTATAAAGACACTATGGGATCCCTCACTTTGTTTTTTTTTTAAACAAAAAGACAGAAAAGACACGGGGACCTCAACATTTTTAAAATTTTTGAAAAATGTAACAAAGGCACCAGGGACCCAAAAGATTTTTGTACAATCTACACTTTTATAAAAAGGACCCGAAGATTCTTTTCAATTCTTTAAAAAGACAAAAAAAGATCTAGAAACTCTTTAAAATTTTTCCAAAAAGGATAAATATACCAAGGATCCCGGAAATTCTTTTGCGTTATTTAGAAAGATACAATGGGATCTCCAGCTGAGACTTTTTACAATAAAAAAAGACACCCGAAATTCTTCTAGATTCTTTAAAAGACACAAGGGGATCTCGATTTTCTTATTTAATTTTTCTAAAAGGATAAAATGACAACAGGGACCCAAAACATCTTCTGCATTTTTTAGAAAGACACAAAGGGACCTTGAGATTCTTTTAAGTTTAAGACACCAGGGAACCCGAAGATTATTTTGCGTTCTTTAAAAAACACCCAGATTCTTTAGAATTGAAAAAAGACACTAGGGGCCCCCAAGATTTATTTCAATTTTTTCTAAAAGAAAAACGACACAAAGAACCCCAAAGATTCTTTTCTATTATTTAAAAGATATGAGATCCAAGTTTTTTTAGAATAAACAAAAACTCTTTAGAGGCCCCCGAAATTCTTTAAAAGAACAAGGGGATCGAGATTTTTAAAATTTTTCAAAAAACCAACAAGGGCACCAAGGACCCTAAAGATTCTTGTACATTTTTTATACCCCTAACATGTTTTAGATCCTTTAGAAAGGCCTACAGACTCTTTAGATTTTTTTCCAAAAAGAAAACATGTGGCAGGATCCCGGAGATTCTTTTGCGTTTTTAAAAAGACACAAAGGAATTCCCAGATTCTTTAGGATTAAGAAAAAAAAACACCAGGGGCGTCTAAGATTCTTTTCAATGTTAGCAAAAAAAAAAAATAGACACCAAGGATCCCGGATATTTTTTTTATTATTTAGAAAGTCACAATGGGACCCACGTCTGAGACTTTTTAGAATCAAAGAAAAAATACTTTTAGGGACCCCTCAGAGTCTTTAAAAAGACAAAAGCGGACCTCGAGATTTTTTTTTAAATTCCTAAAAAGTAAAAAAAATACTCAAAAAATTATTCTGAATTTTTTTGAAAGGCACAAAGAGACCTCGGGATTCTTCTAAAAAGAAAAACAACACCAGTGATCCCGGAGATCATTTTGCGTTTAAAAAAAAACACAACGGAACCCCCCAGACTTTTTAGATTAAAAAAAAACAGTAGGGGCCCCCAGGAATCTTTTTCAATTTTTCAAAACACAAAAAAGACACCAAGAACCCCGAAGCTTCTTTTACGTGATTTAAAAAGACACAGTGTGACGTACGGTGAGATTTCTTAGGGAAAAAACACTTTAGGGACTTTATAGATTCTTGCAGATTATTTAAAAAGACACAAAGGAACCTCGAGGTTCCTTTAAATTTTCCCAAAAAGAAAAATGACGCTAGGAATCCAGAAGATTCTTCTGCATAATTTAGAAAGACATAGGGAGACCCAGAGATTCTTTAAGTTTGATCAAAAAGAAAAAACGCACCAGGGATTCCGGAGG